CGAAGGCAGGCCACACTAATCAGAACCTTTTCTCTTCCCACTCGGGTTCTGCTCATTGCTAAGCAGAAGGTAAGGCCTGGCTGACTGGTGAGGAGGCTGCTGTGATGGGCAGCTTCTTGGGCAGTGTCTTCTTTTCTCCTTTCTTCTGTTCCTGCCTGGACACCTGACTTCCGAGGAGGCCCTGCCCAGTGGCAGAAGCAAATTAGAGGAAGCCCTAGAACAGTGGGGAGCTCTTGGGGGGAGCATTGAGGGAACTTTAAAAATATGGCTGTTTGTTCTCCCCCTGCCCCTCCCCACAGCTGAGGTTTAGAATTTAACTGGCCCAAGGTGGGACAGCATTGATATATTTTCTTAAGCTCCCTAGCTGGTTCTGATGGCTTCACTACCAAGTCTTACTCCTTCTGAGCCCCAGCGCTTTTGGCATGCACGCATTCCGGCACTTTTCTGTCTTGTTTCCAGGCAGGAAGTCATCCTAGAACTGGCCAGAGACTCCAAAGAGAGGCAGTCTTTAGATAAATCCTTTGGCATCAGCGAGAGCCTTTGTTGTTTTTCAAAGGTGTTTGCTTTCAAATTGACAACTGTCTGCAGTGGAGCCTGCTCTGAAGATTGCCGTGCCTGCGCTGCCTTCCAGTCTAGGCTCTAGATAAGCTCATGGGCAGACAGACCAGACGAGGGCTAAAATAAACTCAGACACCCCCAAACAGAACACTGCTGTTACAAGTACAGCAGGGTGATTAAAGCAGCCTGTTTCATATGGAAATGCAGTACGTTATTTGTGTGGCAAAGTGAGAACAAAATGTCTAAGAAAAGAGAATAAATATGTACAGATCGGAAAACCTTAACCATTATAAAAGTTTTACTAATGTATCAGTACGTAGCTCCCTTTTTGTATAAGAACAAAACAACAGCAGCAGTAATGATAATGATGAACAACTTTTAGCACTAACTGTGCACCAGCTACTCGATCTACAGGTTCTATCTGAATTGATTCATTTAATCTGACAACCCTACAAGATAGCTGCTGGTATTACCCTCATTTTCTAAATGAGGAGATTGAGGCACTGCATTACTAAAGAACTTGCTAGTTTGTAAGTGGCAGAGCCAGGATTAGAAGACATTCGGGGCTTCTGTTCTTAACAACTTACCAGGGCTAATTCTTAGTTCAAAGGAAAATTTGATTTTTTGAAAATCCAAGGTTTCTCAAATATCCGAGTACACATTAAATATTTTCCATTAAGTTTTATAATCTTCAGTGGAAATTATTTCAAAGTATCCTGTAGACATCACTGCTTCCTTCAAGGACACTGAACACAATTTAACTTTTACTTAAAGCCTCCCTGTTAGCATCATAGACATTAATTTTGGGGGAGGCTAGATGGAGCCTGACACTCTCAGGCTTTTTAAGGTTTAGAGTTAGGTCACTCTGACCCACGCCCTGGACAATTGCGGTGTCTGTCTCCCCCGAAGCCCCTCCTACAGGTGACTGGCTGATAATAGTCCCTGCTGAGGCATTGGCCCAACAGCTGTGTTCTGATCTAAGCAAACTTGAGGCATCTCAGCCACAGCAGATGACGCGAAGACCCCTGACCTCAGCAGCCCTGTTCTGGACCGGCCAGCAGTCTACTATATGAACCAGTGGGCAAAATTTAGCTAAAAATGGGCGCGGTGGTCCAGATTCTCCCTTCGGGGGGTTTGCCCTGGGAAGTACTGGTTCGCAATGGGAGCTAAAAGAGTATAGAGAGAGAGCCAATGAGGCAGAGCAAGCAAAAGTGACAGGAAGCAGATAGCAGTCCTGAACAGGGGCTGTGAGGTGGGAAAGAATACCCTGCTGGCTATGGCGATGAGTGCAGAGGGCACGGCCAAGATAAGGGGCAGGTGGAGATTGGGGACTGCCACATTCAGGCCCACCCAAAGACTTTGGCATTCCTATCCTAACAATATGAAAGCACCGTGCTGTGCAAACAAACAACAACAAAACTGAGTCTGCTGGTTGCGACAAGAGCTGGCAGTTTACAAATTCCAAAGAGAGGATGAGGAAGCCAGGTAGGGGCAGTCAGAGAGGCCAAAAGACCCCTGGGCGCAGCCAGAGGAGAGCTGAATCACATAAATGAACTGATCAGTAGGTGTTGAGGCACGAACTCCCGATGCTGAAGTCCTGGGTAGCATGGATTCTTGCTGGCGTCCTGGGTCCAGTCTTCCTCAGGTCTGGCTCCACTACACGCCTGTTCTTCCAGAGGCTTGGTGATTTGGCCTTTCGTGGTTCCCACGAGGCCCTGTGGGGCTGAGATCCTTGTGTGTGTGTGTTTTTTTTAATTCCTTGGAACTCCTTCCCCTAATATTAGATGTAACTTGAGCTGTTCCTCGGAACAAAAAGAGCCTAACAAAAATACTCTACATGGCCCCAGATTGCTCTTTCCCCCGGCCTCCCCCCTCCCCCTTGGAATTATTGTTGTCCTATTTTTAGTTTTTCTGTTTCTTCCTTTGCTGCTAGGCTGTCAACCATCACTTTTTATTGCTGTAGTTGGCTTGCTTCTAGCCATTCTCTCTTTGTCATTAAGGCTACTTGTAGACAGGGCACTAGATCCATTAGCTTGGTGGGGCTAAAAAAAGTAAAAGTAAACAGGTAACAGGAAGGCTGAATTTTATAGCATGCGACTATCTCAAAATAGCTGTGATAAAAATTAAATAAGCATTGAGAGCGTTTTAGTGTCACATGAGCTTTAGGATATAGTGTTTGGAAATGCACTTTGTGCAGATGTCTTTCTTGCTTTCTTTCTTACGTTTGGTTCCAGTCCAGTCAGTGAAGGTCTTCCTAAAGTATCCCTTGGTTCTGAGGAACCACAACACACGAGCCAGCAGCGTAAAGGAAACAAGATTTATTTTAAGACATTACGCAGAACTCAACCGAAGAAAGTAAGCAGGCAAGACAGCCTCTCTCTCCCCGATTCTGTCTCTCCGTCTTTCCCTCTCTCCCTGGAGTTTCCTGGTTTCCTAACCTCACCTTGTCCTTGTTTCACATCTGCTCCACGTTCCTCTCTGCGGACTATTCTGCTTCTCTGTCAGGTTTTTAGTTTCTTTTTCCTCCAATTCTGGCTTGCACATGGCTTTGGGGCTGCCATGCTGCTGATTTTGGCAACTCTTCATGACCTCGCATCTTTAATGCCAACACCTTCCGATTCAGCCTCTCTGTGTCCGAGAATACGATTGACCTGTTTTGAGCCGTGTGTCTGTCTGCCCCTGGTCAAATGAGATGGTCAGAGAGCAGTGCCGGGCCCCCACTCCTGAAGGAACGCCCTTCCGGCCTGCAGGCCGCGCTCTCAGGAGAGTCTGGCAGGGAGGAAGTGACTGGCATTTCAACCAGAGTGAAATTTCTAAATTTCTGAGCTCTGATAGGTGCTGTGTTATTACACGTTTACTCTTCCTCTTTGTTATTCACCGTTCAGCACTTACAGTCCTGCTAACAATAAACAAATTGTTCCTTGGTGCTATCACCTATCACCATCTAGTCTAGTCAGTAGTCATTTTGGTTTTCATATATGTACAAATACAAAAACATATTAAAGGTAGGTCTCCCCTTCAATATTTTTCTGTCATCTCTCAGGATCCTGTTACTCACTTATCTTCGTAAAACTGTTCTCTGGGTTAAACCAACAATGCAAATTCATTTTTAACAACAGAGCTGAAAGTTGTTAATGTTTCAGTAAAAACCACTTTAAACACCATATTGCATCTACACAGGGATGCTTTCCTGACCAACAACTTGTCACAAATGCCGGAGTGACTTTACAATTTGTCTAAAGCCACTACTTTCTACCATGTTCTTTTCACAAAAGTATGAAATAATTATGAGTCAACCATGGGTGGAAGCATTTGTTATTAGTTTTTCAAAAGATGCCAAGTGCTAGAGGAAATTTTTCTCCTAGGCCAAGAACAGTTCTATTTTAAAAACAATAAAATGCAAATTAAATGTTTCTTCATGTTTGAGTCTAGCATTTGAATGGTACTAAACAGTTTTCAAGACGTTTTCTCATGCATGATTGAACTTAATGTTCAAAATAAAGTTCTGGTGTTACTAGTATCATTTTATAGCTGGAAAACGAGCTCAGAGAAGTTATTTGACTTATTCAAATCACGGTGCTTTGTGCTTCAGATAAAAACTAAAGTCGTTTTACTCTAAGTCTTGTGGTTTTGCATGACACTTTGCTCTTTCCTTACTTTATCCCTACGATTTTTGTGGGGAAGAGAGGCATCAGTATAAGTATTTCAAAATCCGCAAATTCTCAGTATACAGTCTTCGGGATAATCCTGATTTGTTTTTCTAACTCCAAGGCCCATACATGGATAATACTATAACAAAACTACTGCCTACTTATTTATGAAAAATTAAAAGTGATAGATTGAGGGTTACCACAGCCTACTACAAAGTTTGATCTATCCCTCACAGTTGAAATCACATACAGTATTTTAATTCGATGTAACCTTTTCTAACTCTTTATTTTGTCAGGGATATAATATTAATTAGTGAGATTAAAATAAAATGCAAATCTCTAATGAAACCATTCTTGGACAGAATAACTCTCAATGTTATCTAAAAAGACCAGATTAGTCCTTGAAGTGATTGGTTGTGGTGGTTAAAAGAAGAAATGTTTTCAAAGGAGATAAGTGTGTTTGCTACTTATATGTACGTAGATCTTACTAACTACCCACGTGTTATTATTGCTAAAGTAGGCAAATAGGGTTTCTAGGGACACCCACCCCCCTTCACCCTTAGCAGTTCAAGTTACTCTAGGTATCCAAAAGTAATAAAAAATTTTAGCTCTTTAAAAGTCTCTAATTCAGATTTTTCATTTATTTAGATTTTTCTGTCCACTAAGTCTAAAATGAGCAGAGTTTTGCTGTGTTTATTATTATACAACGGGCAGACATTTGTTGAAATTTAGGTTGTCTGTGTGCACTATTTACTAAATGTTGTTAATATTACATTGGGTGCTTTATTACAGGATTCCCAGGACTGTGTTAAGCAGAGCAATTATAATAGTTTAAAGAGTAGGAGCAAGAAACAACCCACATGTAATAAAATATGAAGAAAAAGAGGACACCTGGAACATGTGAGTTATTTTTATTTCAAATTAATTTTTTTAACTTTATTATTTTTTAAATTTATCTTTATTGTTGAAAGTATTACAGATGTCACTTGTTTTTTTCGCCCATTGACCCCCTTCATCCTGTACCCGCCCTCCCCAGGACTTCACCACACTATTGTCTGTGTCCATGGGCTATCATATATGCATATAAGTTCCCCAGTTAATCTCTCTCCCCCACCCCCACCTTCCCTCTGAAATTTGACAGTCTGTTTGTTCCATGTTTCTATGTCTCTGAATCTATTTTGTTTGTCAGTTTATTTTGTTTATTAGATTCCATATATGAGTGAGATCATGTGATACTTATCTTTCTCTGACTGGATTATTTTGCTTAGCATAGTACTCTCCAGGTCCATCCATGCTGTTGCAAATCGTAAGAGTTCTTTCTTTTTTTTACAGCTGCCTAGTATTCCATTGTGTAAATGTACCACAGTTTTTTAATCCACTCATCTGCTGATGGGCACTTGGGCTGTTTCTAAATCTCAGCTATGGTAAATTTTGCTGCTATGAACATAGGGGTGCATATGTTCTTTCTGATTGGTGTTTCGGGTCAAATTCTTACTTCTTTATGTTGACTATATTCCTACTCTTTGTTTAAAAGCATTTAGTATCACTTTGGGAAGAAGTACGACCTACACATTTAGCCAACTATTTAGGGGAAAGGAAAGAGAGCACAGCTGGTGGACAGAGCTGAAGCGGGGAGAGCTGCAGTTTGAAGCAGAGAGGAAAACAGGGACCCACGTTTCTATCTTTCTATTATTTCATCTTCTGTTTGAGGATTTCATTTGCAAGGTCCAAGGTGGTCTAATTTGCCTGCCAGGCCTGCCGCTATGATGTTTGTGCTACAGGCAGTACAAAGGAATGGGGAGGGAAAGGAGCACCAGCCCCTCATTCCTGTGCTTTTAAAGAGACTAACTGGAGGTCCCACAGAACACTTCTATGATAATTTAGTCACAAATCCACAACTGGACTGGGATATATAATCCCTTATTTCAGGCAGTAATGTGCCCAATTAAAAATGGAGTTCTGGAAAAATTGCCATTTTGCAACCATCATGGGAAACACTAATCTGGATAAGAATCACTAGAGAATGTTCAATCCGGGGAGGAAAGTCTGCTGAAGAGAACATTTATATGGTCTTAAAGTATTTCCTCCCAGATTGCTTATTGGTCACAGAGGGGGAAGTAAGTATACAGTGGAGAAACCAGACAGCATCCTGACCCCGTGATGGAGATGGACATAACCAGCAGCAGGAGACGTCATGTGGCCTCCAGATGTGACCTTGTGAAGGACACGAAGTCGCTTCCGTGCTATTCCAGCTGGGAAGACATAACCTGAATCTAATCGTGAGAAGGCACCAGACAAACCAAAATGAAGGAACAGTCCGTAAAAGAACTGACCTATCTAGACTTTTAAAAAATTGTCAATGTCATGAAAGATAATGGAAAGCTGATAAACTGTTCCAGATTAAAGGAGGCTAAAGAGACATAACAACCAAATTCAATTCATGATCCTGGACTGCAGCCTACACTGGCAGAAAACAAAATTCTATAGGGAACATTTGACTAAAGTGGTAGGGGTGTTTTGCAGAGAGAATGAATAGGACCTGCTGACTAAGTGTTGAATCTTTCTTCTCTAGATCCTTAGAGCCATTGTCTTAATTCAGGCTCTCAGCACTTCTCCCCTCAGCCTATTTCTAGAACTTTCCAAGTAATTTCACATTGTCTTTCTCTTCCAATCTGTCTGCCATATTGTCACCAGAGTGATTTTTTGAAGCACAAATAGGATTATGTCGTAGTCTCTGTCTTAGTCCATTCAGGCTGCTATAACAAAAATAGTATACACTAGATAACGTATAACAACAGACATTTATTTCTCACAGTTCTGGAGGCTGGAAAGTCCAAGATCATAGCGCTGGCAGATTTGCTGTCTGATGAGGACCCACTTCCTCACTGAGGGCCGCCTGTCTTCTGGAATCTCACATGGAGGAAGGGGCAAACGAGCTTTCTTGGTCTATTTCACAAGGGCATTAACCCCATTCATGAAGAATGGAACCATATGACCTGATCGCCCTTGGAAGGCTCCATCTCCTAATACCATTACCTTGAGGATTAGGATTTTAACATATGAATTTGTGGGGACACAAAGATTCAATCTGTAGCACCCCTAATTAGAAATCCTCTGTGGCTTGCTATTGCCTATTCCTAATCTGCCATATGAGACCCTTCTCTGCACAGATCCAGACTTCCTTGTGGGTCATTTCTTTCTGGCACTCCCCTCTCAAATGGTTCCAGTTATTGATTGGTCCTCCACCTTCAGTAGCCATGACATAACACCCAGGATGACATAATGAGGACAAGGATGGGATGGAATAAGCCAGTGAGATAGACAGTTACTTTAAAGCTTTTACCTAGTTTGAAATATAGGCGTGGCTATCATGTGAAATGACTCCATTCCAATTTTTTCAAAGAAATTAATTTTTCAGAGAAATAAAGAAGTGCCTACTACTTGTGCCAACTCAAGGAAAGGGCAAATGAAGATGGGCTTGTTGGCTGACTTCCATCCTAATATTTCCTGTGAGGTTATTAGATGCTGCCAGCTAAGGATCTCATTAGCTTAGTCCAAACTATTCTATCAACAGCCATTTTCCTCTGTCACAGCTGATGCTGAGAGTCGTGTGTCATAAAACGCCATATACCCCCAAAGTTTAGAACCCTGGCTGAATGAAAATAAATCACTGTTGTTGAATCAAGTGACCCATGGGATTCCCAAGAGAAGTTTCCTTTATAGTTTATAGTTATGTGGTAAAAACTCATGGTTTTCCATACCCATGTGGCTTTTCTGCTTATTCCCTATAATTTTTCTAAAACGTTATTCCATCATTCTATTCAATAAAAAAGATCGCTTACCTCATTTGCTCTCAGGAATAAGAAAGTTTCACAGGAATTGCATTTAGCAGTGAGATGATAGAATTCTTTTCCTCTGGACTTATCAAGTAAGATTACCAGCAGACAAATGCTTCTCTAGAATTCAGGACAGAAGGCCCAGCTATTGTATATTTATTCCATAGATCAATATCTATACCCAAACTCACATTTTTAAGGCATCAGCTTTAACTGTTGCCAAGCATTCCCTTAAAAGTCAAGGCTCTATTGGTATAATGAACAGTAAGAGAGGACTGAGAGTATACTTGTGAATTGCCTGAGTAATGCTTATTCATTCTGCACCATGGATTCTGTCAAGTAGAATTCCAATTGTGACCATACACCATGCTCATTTCTATGTAGAAGAGAGAATCTATGGCTCTCATAATAGCTCTGTATTTCAGAGGGATGCTGCTACATTATTTTATACCTAATCTATGTACTTGGTATGTCTTGATTTCTGCCTTGCCCTGTGAATTACAAAAGTAACTTACCTTATATTCTTGGAGTAGGGGAAGTAATATATCATTTGTGACAGCAGCAATTTCTGAGCCACAGATCCACTTAATATAAGTTATTATACTTAGACTCTAAAATCATCCAAGATTCCAGGAAATTTATGGAGAAAATATGAGTTACCCTTTGACATTCCCGGAGAATAATACTGGTTCATCAATGTTGATATAAGTTTCCAAAGACTTGCCAAAAACTTTAAGTGTTAAATGCTCCCACATGCAATAGATTAGTGATCTCGTTTCATAAGTACCGCGCTAACCGATTGCACCACTGGAGTTCCTAGTGATCACTTATCAATGGGACAGATGATATCTGCTCTACCCATCTCACAGGCTTGTGAGAATCTTATGAAGTCATTTATAGGGAAAAGTACAAAGTGTTATTTTAATATTAAATATTATTAAAAATAATACAGTGGGGCCTTGACTTACGAGTGTCCCGACTAAGGAGTTTTTTGAGATATCAGCTGTCTCTCGGCTGATTTTTTGCATTGAGTTGACAGAGTAATTTGAGTTAACGAGCTCCTTAATGAGCTCGGTCTCGGAAGGAATTAAACTCGTAAGTCAAGGCCCTACTGTAGTTTCTTTTTATTAAATTTATTGGGCTGACATTTGTTAATAAGATTGTATAGGTTTCAAGTGTACAATTCTGTGATACGTGTCTGTATCTTGCATTGTGTGCCCATCACCCAAAGTCAAGTCATCTTTCTACTGCTCCTGACTCTGACTCAGGAGTGGTCCTGAAGACCATTCCTGTCCAGAGTAAAATGGACTGGCTCCGTGCTTCTGAATGTGGAGCCTCTACCCCATGTGAAAAGGCAAACTGGGAGCTAGGTCACCGATCTGGAAGCCCAAAGAAATAAGTAAATGTTTCAAATGGTAACTGGGGCATAAACATCTTTGTGAATTGATATGGAAGGAGATCTGTCCTGTCAGTGCCCCAGTTAACACTCTTGTGATGGTCTGTTCTGACTCCGACTGTTCTTGAAGTGGTGCAAGTCTGTCCACAGGCCTTTCTTTTCCCTGATTGTCTGTCTTCTCTTCCCATGAGCCCCTTTGTTACTGGCTGATAAATTATGTCTCAATGTCGCTGTTGGCCTTTTGGCAGCTATGCCTGCAATTTTTAATAAACAACTAGCACAAAGGAGTTGACTCTGATGGACCAATAGTCCAAGAATACACATCACAGAGAGACAGGCATCTTCAGTTAGTTCAACAGTCAGCTGGCTGGAGAGAGCTCCTGGAAGCAGATGAATTGGAGTATTGTGACTTTTTTCTTTTTGGCCATGATTTCGTTGTGTAAGGTTAGGCAAAGTGCAACTGCGCTGAGGCACTCTAGAGGAGAGGGGGTAAATGTCACGGGGCTGAATTTGTTCACTGAGCTCAGAAAGAGCCTCTGGGGGAACAGGAGAAGCAGCTGGAAGGTGAGAGGGGGCAGTAGATGGGCAAACTTACCCCCTCAAGATAAGTGGAGAAGGGTGCATAACATGGCTGTGTGGTCTTAGCCCAGCTCAGGCAGGGTGGTAAC